CCAGGTCCAAATATCGGCGACTCAACCGAATCAACCCGTCTGGTCTAACAGATTTGAAGATGGATATTATGGACAGTTGACTCATTCCTTAGTTCGATATCTCGAAGGTTGGTTCTCATTCACCCAGGTTCTTTGTCTGAGTCGTTCTAAGTTTTAAAATTCGCTCTCCTCAGGTAACGAGGATCCTACCATCGAAGGCCTCGTCGAGTATCTCAGCAAGAACTGTGACCCCAAAGGAGATCAATTGCCCCAAATTAGCTGCTCTCGCAAAATTAAAGGACGAGTCTCACTTTTCTAACTGTCCCTGAGTTTCGGCTTTAAGATTTGGTGGTGATATGATTTTCCTGTAAATATATGTACCAAGTAGTCCACCAGGGAAATTTTGGACGGCCCTGCGCGAGATTTGATCGGGGACTAGGGGGATTATGCCCCACCCTATCAATCTTACGGAAAACAAAGGACCAGCTTCTGCCCCCGATTGTCTCATATCAACCACCACGTCCCTAGGTCCTCTACTGTACAGCCTATTTGGGCATAATCGTCTATGTTGTGTGTGTACTGGAGACGCCGATCTCAAGGGAAGGGTGGATGCCGTGTGTTTCGTACGAAAGAGAAATCAAACAGGGTTCATTATCTACTCTCCTCCGTACCCCTCTCCAGTACTCACCGTAAAATCACCATGTTTGTCACCCGATCGAGCCACGTAACTTGAGAGGTCCAAAGCTCTCTGGTGGACTAGGGCAACACGGCTGATGCTTCGAGGGGACCTCGTGCTGTTGAGGCACCGTCCACGCACAAGCGGGAAACATCTTCAGAGTCTTCCCTCTCATTCTCTCAACCAACGAGTTTTGTTTTTGGAGGCGTGGAAAGCGGTGGGATGTTCACGAGAGCGCGCGAGGACTCACCATGCATTGTAGAGGAAACCTAGACAAAAGTTCGGTTGTGAGTGTAGTCGGACTGTGGGTTTCTTTGCTAGCGGGACGCCAACGACGACTTCAAACGGCCTTGCATCTCATTCAAGCAACAAGAAATACGGACCGGTGAGGTGGGACCTCAGGAAGGGGGGCTTCCTGCGGGACGGAGTGCACGTAGGTCGCGGGTAAAGTCACGCTTTGAATTTCAGCTCATATCCTCCTTTTACATCGCCGGATTTGCAACAAGCCAAGCTAAGGGCGTGCATTGGCCGCGCAAACTCTGTTTAACGACCACAGCGATCGGACGCTCGTGCGGGAAGAGTCGGCCGCGGGGGCACTGATTCGTTTGTGAACGCACCCGGACGATGGGATTCTCTGTTGGTGGAACGCTAACGACTCGGACGACCTCGAACGATCCTGTAACGACAACCTCACACGATCTCGTAACTCACCAGAGAGGAAGTAAAGATCAGAAAATGGCTCTTCAGGAACAGGGGATTCCCTCGGTCCCTGAAGGAAGCGGCCGGAAAAGGGGGAGGGGCGGATAGAGTGGCGCTTTGTACTTTGATAGCAGTAGGGCCAACACAATATATTGATGTATGGGGGGCTCTCTCCAACCAAGTCTTCTCTGGTATATCGGTAGAACATCACCCTGTCAACTCGACCTCCTCCTGGGAGGTCGACCCAGACGGGGCTCCCAGGACGGTGGTTTCTGACCGGTAAAACTAAAGGAGTTGAGAATACCACCGCCAAGCGAGCCAGAAAGCTTGCGGAGGCTGCTTCTACAAGCATCAATGATGTCGACATTGCCACCAACGATGTCGACCTTGCCGCCAACGGTGGTGATTTACTCATCAAGGAACCCTCTTATCCCATCAAGATGGAGGAGAATTGGCCTGCTCCCACCCTTCCCTCGTTGACTTCTCCAGCACCTCTCCCCACCCATTCGAGGGCCTCTCTCAGTCCTCCGTCCCAATCGGTTCGAGGGGTCGATATTTTGGAGGCCGTCGTCAGGTGAACTAAGCTCGAATCCTAACCTTCTTGACGTTCTTGGTCAAGTCTAATGACACCGCATTACTGCTAGGCACAGCGCTGGGTATCAGCTGTACATACTTCCTAGTACAGTTCAAGCCTTTGTGGATCCGGGAAGACCGATTAATCCCGGTGCTGGAAGGTCAGAGCTCTATTCTCCCTGGCATCAGCTTTCGTTTGACACAAATATTCAGCAGCCATTTCAACACAGTTCCGTCTCTCGGCAGAGCGGTGCCAGCTCTGAAGCTCATGCCCTGTGGGGCAGCAATTGCGGAGGAAGTCCTGCGTGTTGCATATCATACTGTTTCCTGTGTGACTTGTACCGCGGCGACTTCCCTCCATGAACGGTCCTGGTACCGCAACCTTGTAGATGCGGATGGGATCCGTTATGACCCCCCCGAGTTGCCAACGACCCCTAGTAAGCAGCCCCAAGCAGCCGAGCCCGAGGTCCCCACAGCGGAACTGCGGTATGATGCGTCTTTGAAATTTCTGGGACCGGAGACTCAATTCTAGATGTAGAGACGGTCATTGGATGTTTTGCATTTCCTCGACCTATCCTTTACTCCTCCTGTTCCGAGATTTCTCTCCGATTGTATTGCTCAGAGTAACCACGTTAAAGTGTATTTCTGGTCAATGTTCATGGTCGTTTTGTAGTCGGGTCCGCTTCTGGTGGGCGAGGTGGACAACCGCAGCATCACAGCAAAAAGGGTCACCTTTTTCACTCTGCTTTGTCAAGTAGACGCACGATCCAAGCCCATCTTCCTGTCTTAGCTCAGGCAAGAGAACTTTTCTGGCGGGCACCTGTCCTGACCATGCCCTAGCATTGACGTCACCAGGCCTTGGTCAGGTATTGTCGGACTGAGGGGAGGGGCCCAGGCCTAAATTCAACCCTTCTTGTTTTAGGGAGCCCGCAGTTCTACTCCACTCTACGCCCGCCCTAGATTTCCCAAAGTGGGTCACTTTTCTCACCCTACTTTTGTCAAGCAGACGCATGACCTCTTCCTGTCTTAGCTCAGGTAAGAGAACGTTGCTGGCGGTGTTCACCGATATTCCGGTCACCTGTCCTAGCCTGGGGCGAGCTTTCCACTAGGCGCCTCTACCGACTCTCTATAGGGTGATTCGACCTGTTCGCTTCTAACGTATTAGCGCTTTCTACCGGATCCTAAATTAAATGCCGGAGTACGATAAAACTTCCGTTTCGAAGATCACCACGTTTTAGGGACTTCATTCTACGGCTTGTGGATCACCTAGAGCAACAGCCACGTTGCAGTTACGCAGTTCAGACTAAAGCAGACGAACAAATAGATGTTTAAACTTTCGATCGCCTCCGACCCGTGGATGAGACGCTATCGCATTTCCCAACGACCCCAAGGGAAATCAACTGCCTCAAATATACAGCTCCAGCAAACCTGAAGACTGATCTCCCTTTTCGCTGTAACTGTACATGTAAGCGTCCAATTTCGATTTCGGCAGGTGACAAACCTCATACCATTGAAGGTCTCGTGGACTATCTTAGCACGAAGTGCGACCCCAGTGGATATAAACTGCCTCAAGTATGCTGCTCTCACAAGCTCAAAGGATGGTTCTCGTATGTAGTTAGACTTTTCTCTCCCTGGCAAGAAGCACGATCGTGGTGGGGCGCAGTTGTCTCGATCCGCGTCAAGTAGAAGACCGGATCTCTCCTTCCTCGTCGTCCTCTGGTTCTCAAAGTACGGATTCGGTTGTGATGTCCTCTTCTAATATGAATAGATCTGGCAAAGAGACTAGAGGGGAATTACGAAGTAGCGCGAGACCTGGCCGGAAAGTAGGGATTCCGCTACGCCCTAGTGTTTTACGAGAAATAGGGACCAGCGTGGGTCCCTAATCGTCTCCCGTCAGTTGCCACGTCCCTGAGACAATTAGTTATTTGAGCGCGATCGACCACGTGGCAAAGGTATATACTTACTACAAAAAGAACGAAGCGAGCCACAGCGCGTTAACTTGCTCCGAAGCGCGGCCCGATTGCGTGCGATGGGTCGTCATAACCTTGTGTGGACAATGATTTTCCATGCTATCAGTCGAATATACCTGTGATCCTGGCACGGCCGACGCTCCATGAAAGGGTCGTGCGGTTATGACACGGTAAACATACGTGGGAGCGAGGAACGCCTCAGGTTCTTCCTTGCGACCAATGAATTTGATTTTGGGGCCGAGGATGACTAGTTCGACAAATCGCCGCTGATGTGAAAGCGACCGGACGCTCCTGGGGAAGAGTTGGCCGCGTCAGCCAACGATTTGTCTGTGAATGCACACGGACTAGTATGGGTTCTCTGTTGGTGGGACCCTAACGACGCGGACGACCTCGAACGATCCCGCAACGCACCAAAGGAATAGCTCGGAGATTGGCAGGAGGTCGCTGATTCTAACTAGAGGTTCTCCTGTCATGCGTCAGAAGCCAGGAAGAAGTGGGTCTGGTGCAAACGCCGGCGACTTGGATAACACCCATCGAATGTTACTCCGGGATGTGACATGGAGTTCGTTCGTGCGATATTTACGAAAAGACTCTGTCTTACCTCGGGAGCAGTTTTCTTGTGAACCCCGCTTCAACTCTGTATCGTCCAAGGCTGATATTTTTCTATGGTTTCACGTAATTCTCTGGTTGTCAGCCGCGAGTGTGGATCGGAGTGTTGCAGCGCCGCCCTTTTTGCAATTACATCAGCCCCGCGCGACAACCATGCTCGCTATATACTTACGCTACAAACCAGATCATATCTCTGTGCCACGTCCCTGTTCGTAAATTGTGTCACTAAACTTGCGTACGTTGGTGGGACGCTAACAGCTCGGACGACCTCGAACGATCCTGTAACGACGGCCTCGGACGATCCCCCAACTCACTAAAGAAATAGCTCAGGGAAGTAAAGCTCAGAAAATGGGTCTTCAGGAACAGGGGCTTCCCTCGGCCCCTGAAAGAAGCGGCCGGAAAGGGGTGGGGGGCGGATAGAGTGGCGCTTTGAACTTTGATAGCAGTCGACAAAACACGACATATAAATTTATGCGGGCCTCCTTCCAATCAAATCTTCTCTGGTATATCGGTAGAACATCACCCTGTCAACTTGACCTCCTCCTGGGAGGTCAACCCAGACGGCCGGTGAAGAGCTGGGTTCGACTCCCAGGAGGAGAG